TCATTTCAACAAGTAAGCACTGTCACTATTTATCTTTCCTTTAGCTGTTACTCGGTCTCTTAAGAGTCAGTTTGTGTAGTGATTAATGCACTGGGCTAGAAACCAGAAGACCAGTTTAGTTCCACCTTAGATACAAAGCCAGTTTGGTGACTTTGGGCTGGTCACTTTCTCACAGCGTAAGGGAGGAGGCAAAATCTTGCCCAAAAACTTGCAGAGAGACTTTCCAGGCAGTCGCCAGGAGCCAACAATGACTTGAATAAACACCTACCCAAATCTGGTTCTTAAAATATGAACATGCATATTGCTGAGTTCTCAGATGACAGTTTGTGAACTGGACTTGGCAAATATTTAAAAGTCAACAGAAAGAATTAAGTTCTCAGAGGAACTGAAGCAAATGTGGTGATAGTAAACTGGACAGTGATGCAGATTCAATCCTTCTTCCTTTTCTCCCCTATTGAAATCATTTTTAGCAATCCTAGCTAATAGACTTGAGGGAAAGAAAACCACAAACTCACAAATGCAATGTAAATATAAATATACAAATATAATGATAAGTGTATACTTAAGATGAGCAATGTAAATTTTATTACATATTAAATTTTAAACATTATCATTTTAACAACTGCAATTCTGTCACTTGTAAATTAGCCTAATCTTAAACCAGAAATGACAGCCAATAGCTCAATGGAAGAGTTTTATGCTCTGCCTATATAGGCAGTCCTCACTTACCAACCATTCATTCAGCAGCTGTTAAAAGTTACAACAATGGTGCAAAAATAATTCTACACCCCCTGACCATTTAGGATCTTCACAGCATCCCTCGGTCAATTATCATAATCTTTATTTTCCATACTTATTGCAATTCATAAAAGGGTTTAGGGATTTTGTGAGCAAAAGATTCTTAAGGCATATTAAAAATCAGTAGTGTTAGATGAATTACATTGTGTAATGTATTATATTAATCAGACTCAAAGGGAAATACAATTCTATGAATATTCCTTACAGCAGGAGTCTTCAAACTTGGCCCTTTTATGACTTGTGGACTTCAACTCCCAGAATTCCTCAGCCCGCATGCCTGGCTGAGGAATTCTGGGAGTTGAAGTCCACAAGTCATAAAAGGGCCAGGTTTGAAGACCCCTGCCTTACAGTCAGTACCTGTTTTCCAGTACCTGACCTCTTTTTTTTTCTTCCTCTTCACCCCCTTACAGAGCAGACTGATTGGAGAGAAAGGGTTTGCAAGAAAGTAAGCTATTTGCTTTTCTACAAATTGAAAGCAACGTGATCATAACAGCAGCTACAGTACTTTCTTGAAATCTCTTCCTGTTCAATCTCTCTGCTCTGCAAGAGGGGTGGAGAGAGAGAAAAGTAAATGATTTCTGTAGACAATCTCTCCTATGGCTTCCTTTCCCACCCAGAGCAGTGATATCAGAGAGGGATTTTGATGTGTCCAAGACAGTAAACAGGCACTGGAGCATCCAAAGGGCAGGGGAGTGGATAGGAGGCAAACAAAAGCCAAAGGTATGAAACTGAGTACATTGTCTTGTCTCTTTCCAGCCAGGAAGCACAGACATGGCCATGTGATTTCTCACTTAGCAACTGCTTCGCTTAGCTTCCCAATTAAGACTGTTAAGCAAGGACTATCTGTAAGTAGCCAGATGGCTCCATGTTTTAGGCAGTTTGGGGAAAAATTAATTCTGGCAGGCAGTAGTTTTCCTTTTGGCATATACAATATATGTGGCATCCACTATAATATTACTCCCAATCACTTTGAAAACTATAATGGCTCACACTGTCCAAAAGCAGTAGTACTGTATTTTTCCGTCTATAAGACACACCCTTGTATAAGACAGCCCCTAATTTTCTAAACAAAATTTCAGAAATCAACATTTTAAATATTAAACAAACCACATCTTTAGTGGCAGTAAAACAAGTGGCCATGCTATCACACAAGAGAGGTGACTTCCTCCAATCAGATGGCGCTCTGTGGGCTAAGTCCTGCCCACCCCCTCGGCCGTCAATCACTGTACTGAGGCGGCTTCCTGGGGCCTCTTGTGACTTCAGCCTGAGTTGCACCAGTGAAAAACAGGTCATAGAAGGCAGCTTCAATGAGACCGGCGGCATCCTTGGGGCAGTGTGATCCTCCAGCACCAGGCAGCATCTCGGGCTGGCTTTCTCCCCATCCAGGCGGCATCTCGGGCCAGCGATATCCTCCTACACCAGGCAGCATGGCAATGGCATGTAAACAACCCACACAGGCATGCCCTGGGCTGCGGAGGTTATCATTATTTTTTCGTGTATAAGACACTGCACTTGTATAAGACACACCTGATTTTTGAACAGGGTGTTTGCAGGAAAAAATAGTGTCTTTTACACGGAAAAATACGGTAGTTTCCATAATGTTCTCAGGATTCCAAAAATCAATGTCTTGTCCTACCTCAAAGTATTGCCATGAGTATTAAGACAGCTGGGAAAGCTATTGGATTGCATATCAACTTTTCCTTTAGATTACAATGTTTCTAGCTTTATTGGGGAGCTCCTGAAATAGTTCTACAGCCCAATGGAACAATTTGTAAGAAGTGTTTATCTTGCACTGTCTCCCAAGTTCAAACTATTAGATAGCAACTGAAATGAAGCTGATTCTATCTTCAAGCCACTTTGGTGTTTTGTTCCTGAAGCTTCCAATTTATCTTTGGATATGCGTTACTGGTCTTCCTTCATTCAAACCCTGTGAGGTAACACCATGATACTATGGTCACCAGTACTGGAAAGGTGATTGAACAAACATTTGCTGGCATGCAAACATTTATAACTCTCAGGACATCTAGAATGTAATAGGGTCTGTTGTTGTGGCACCCACAAGCTTTTGAAGACTTAAATTTATTTTTTAATCAACTACTATCTTTTAAAACTGCATCTAGGATTTTTTTTTTGCAACACTGAAGACAAATATACACAAATACATACATACACTATACACATATACATACATACATGTGCACACATACACACACACACATCATCAACAATTGATAGCATGGAGGGAGAAAGAATGAATACAGACTAGCTGACAGATCTCTGGGAATTTTAAATGTGTGAACATATAAGAAATTTGACTTTTATGACCTGTGGACTTCAACTTCCATGGGTGGCTCAAAGATTCTGGGAATTGAAGTCCACAGGGGCCACAGTCCCCCCATCCTCACTCAATCTGGACCAAAGACCTGTCCTGTAACTGCTAAGTGCAGGAAGAAGGATATCTTTTTGTCATTTGGCTAAATCTTCAGAATTTCTGCTTGTCAAAAAAAAAAAGTCATAGGTTCACAAATACATTGTCAGCCACAAAAAAGGGAATAAACCTACAGCATCCTATGACCATATTTCATAATTATTTTTCATGTTTTTGAATTTAATCAACATTGTGATCATTCCAAAGCACCCAATCTGTTTACATCTTGCTGTAAATATAATTGGGACATTAAAAATAAATTTATCAGTCAGAAGAATTTTAGCACTAGTAGAAAGATGCTCATAGAATATTAAGTATATAGCAGAATCTGACTGGAGCTGGTGGAAGAGCCAAGGACATGGCCTAATCTAACAAACTAGAGATGAAGTCGTAGCCATTCCTCTGCATTTAAAACACAGAAAGGGCATCTCAAACATGTGGCCTCCAGTTGACTTTCCACTGGCAATGGAGATCTATGAGAAGTATTTGCATTCCTTCAGCCATATAGCAACATCTGCAGTAAAAATGAATAGTGCAGCGATTGAATTCTAAATAGGAATTTGAAGCCCTGAATAGAGGAGGAGGAGGAGGAAGGACTATGTATCAGCCTTGTCTTTCTTGAAACATGAAGCACATAGCTTCCTCCACCTTCACTCTTCAAATGTCAGTGTTTGTTTCAGAAAGTAACACCAATTTCCTCCTCTTCCTATAGATGATCAATCTTTTTTATTATTATTTTCACAGAGCAAGTTTCCCTTATCTGATTAAACTTTTGTTTAGAAATAGTTTCCTAAACATGATCCAATTGAAAACGAATCTTTGTAGTTTCTACAAGACAGCATTAAGTTCATTTCAGAGCATTCCTGTACCACATTGTACATGAACATTCATATATACTTTTATGTGTATCATTCCTGATGAATTTATTTTTGTGTATATATTACTCATGTACATTTTGTGAACACTCTGAATATATTGCATTCAATATATGTAATGGGTCTACACTAAGTTACACCTTACCTTGACTACTGCAACTTATTTTATGCAGATGCACCTTTGAACAGTGCCCATAAATTACAACTGGTGGAAAATGTAGGGGCCAGGCTATCGGCCAGGGCAAGATAGTGGGGGGGGGGGTCTCATGTACTGTATGTCTATCCAAATAAAGATCTTTGTGTCAACCTTTCAAACCCTGGATCAAACCTTCCTGCAGGATTACTTGGATCAGCCACAGGGGAACCTTTGAAGGTCTCCCTGCTGCACCCCTACAAGGGAAAGGCTGGGCTCCCATTTTCGCAAAATTTAGAAAAAGAGCAAAAATAATTTTTATCACCAAACTTAATTGTTAATTCTGTTTCTGATATTTTAACTATACTGGTTTTAATACTTTATTTAATTATATTTTTTACTTTATAGATAAGTTATATATTTTGTAAATAGTACAAATATTTACATAGAATATATAATATGTAGCTGAATGTTTACATAAATTGTGGTCCTACATGGGCAACAGGATCATGCTGCAGCACCCAGTGCCTTCATCACCACTTCTTTAGATTATTGCAGTGCACTCTAGATGAGGCTGCCTTTACAGTCTGCTCAGCTGATTTCTTCCAATCTCCTCTTATCACATTTACACTGCTCTATGCCAGCAAAGAGCAAAACTGAACATCCTTCATACTTTTGAAAAATGTATTGCAAAGAATTAAAGCACTGATGCTAAGGAAGAAATGAGAACAGAAGAAATATAAACAGGAGGCATTTTACTACTCACTTCCTGGGCTTTTCATCTTTTGTTTCTGCTACATGGTATCCAGGCTTACACTTGTAGCTGCAGACAAATCCCACATCATGATTCCGTTCCTTGCATCGAGGCACCAACAGCTCAGCATTGGCAATTGGGCCTGGAGAGTCGCACTCCAGTTTGCAGTAAGCTTCTGGAAGTGACCAGAGTCCATCTTCCAGGCAGGTGATCCACTGATTAATTCCTGATTTCAAGCAAGAGAAAGAAGAAGAAAAACCATTCAAATTATGGCATAACTAGTTATTTTGAACCTTAGGCTGAATTTTACTCTGATCCAATTTTCTTTACCTTCACCATTTGTTTATTTGCACAGACTTTTATGCCACTTTAGTCTGATTGGTATAGGGTCATGAAATGATATAGAGTCTCCTGCTTGAGCAGGGGGTTGGACTAGAAGACCTCCAAGATCCCTTCCAGCTCTACTCTGATTGATTGGTTGACAGTCTCCAAATAATATGCACACTATACAATAGCAACAAATAATTATAATAGAAAATGCTATGCTGTCTTTCTCTATTGTACTTTGGCAGCATGAGATTTTATTTATTTATTAAATTCATTGGCCATGCCTCTTACCAGAAGGGTGATTCTGGGCAACTTGCAATATTAAAAAGATAAAAGTTCTTCTGGACACCGGAAGAATGATTGGGCAGCTGGTTGAAGATCTTACATCTGTCCTGAATGTGAACATGTAGCTGAAGAGACTGGTGATAGGGGTGCATTTTTAGCAGCCCCATTAATCAGTTATTTGCGGATTTAGCTGACCAGCAGAGTTTGGTTTTTGAATTAAGGAGCCAAGTATACAAATGTACATAAATAACAAAAGTCATATGTTTAGCACATTCTTCTGCTCTTATGCAGGCAAAAGATTAGCAAAGACACAAGTGTAAATTTTCTGGAACTTTGTTCCACCAACCAAGTCTATCCCAAGAAAATCCATTCTACCTTGGAGTTTCGCTGGCTTGATACAGGAAAGGAAGCATCGCTTCATAAACGTAGTTCCTTTGGGGCAGGAGAACTCTGCATAAAGGACGTGAGATTGGTCTGGAAATTGGCAGTCAATGGGGTTACATGTCACTGATGTGTCCCAGTGACCAGAGATACAAGTCAGCAAGATGTCTTTCTGGGAAAGAAAAGTGGAAGAGTCAAGAAAAATTTAAAAATTAGTCATTTCTAATTTCAATACTGGTAGAGCTATTGAAACTAGTGTTAACTTACCAGTTGTGACTAGTCATTCCTTTTAACAAGAGATTAGTTTAGAACTGAATCAAGTGCCTAATAGATAATCTGCTAGTTTATTTAAATCTAACCTAAAACATAGGCAAACTGAAATTTATCATCTCTACTTTTGGCCATAACTCCATGAAGAAAGTGATTCTTCTGTTTTCATTTTAACCACACATCCTGAATCATAAGCAAATGATTCTTAAAAAGGGAGTACCTTTGGCCACTGGTGGTCTTTTGTTCACAGCACTGATAGCAATGCCACTCTAGCTTTCACCCTTTATTTACTTCTCCTGTTGTCCATGGCATACGACCAGGCTACTTGCAAGACTATCTTTCTGCCAAGTTCTGCTCATCTCATCAGTTCTAACAGAGAGGGCATGCTTTGGATCCCTTTTATTAAACAATGGCGTCTTGTTGGACTCTTGAGTTGGGCCTTCTCAGTGGTAGTACCTGCCCTCTGGAAAGCATCTCTCTGGAGATTCGGGTGGCCCAGGACAGTTGGATAAATGAGTTCTACTATTGTTGGTGTGTTGGTTTTTTGGAGTGGGGGGTGGGTTGTGGTTTATCTTTGGGCATCTGGGTTTATATGTTGTGAGTTTCTGTGCTTTAAAACTTGTAAGCTGCCCAAAGTCATTTATTGACCATGTGTGGCTATGTAAATCATATCAATGAATCAGTATAAAAATATTTTTCCAATCTGGCTTAAAAATCCAAGAAAGGAAACAAAAATAGTACCCTGACTCCAAGCTTCTAAACCAAAATGACAGAATTACAATGGATGCGGAGCAAAGGGAAAAAGCTCACATCCTTTGGAGGAAAAGCAGTAACACGGCAGCCCATACTAATTAGTTCTAAGCAGAAATGCCAAGACTTTCAGTAAATATTCTGTTCTTATGAAATCTACATTCCAGGTCCAAAACGCAGTTCTCAGCAACCCTACACAAATTATGGGTTTTTAACAAATGTATGTTCCCATTTTGCATAATTGTGCCATTTGTTTTTCATAATTCATACTAAATTTGTGAATCATGCAAATATAAATGAGCTGTATAAATGCGGAAGCCCTACCCTGCCTACCACTTAAATTATCTACCTGTCTGACCTCAGAGGGCCAATCAGAGTTTTGTTTGATATAAACGTAGTACACAGCTTTATTTGTAAAAATGTAGGGGAAATGAGGGGAGGGACATCTCTAAGGGCAATGAAATATGAGATGATCAGAGGCATACCTGTTCATCAGAATTTGCAAATAGATACAATTTATGCACTACCATGATGCCTGAAGGAAAAGTCCATCAATGTGGATTTCTAGAAGTACTTTTTTTTAAAAGTCTGAGAGCTACATGCTGAACATGAAGCAAATGCTGAATTTGCCTTTGTGTATCTAAAATGGTGCAAGTTGAACCTTGATTCAAATAGGGATAAAATTGTGGTCCAAATCTGTGGCAGTTGAATGGGGAGTAGTAGAGCAGTTCCTTTGATATTGATTTCATGTAATTATGTACTGTCAGGTCTGTGTCAACACTTAACAACCATATAAATAGATTTTCTCCATGGCAATCTATCCCTAACTTTAGGTGTTCTAACAGTGCACTCATTGCCACTGTAACTGAGTCCATTCATCTTGCTGCCTATCATCCCCTTTTTCTCTCTCCTTTTACTTTTCCCAACATTAAGGGCTTCTCTAGAGAGTAAGGTCTTTGCATAATACATCTGAAATAGGATAATTTGAGCCTGGTTATTAATGCCTGCAATGAGGACCCTCATTCTATACTTGTTCTATAAACCATTTGTTGGTTTTCTTGGCTGCTCCTTTCATACAAGTTCTCCAATCCATAGAGATACATGGGTCTTCAGTTGCCAGTCTTTGGCACCAAAGGAGATGTTCCCTCCCACCTCTTTCCTTTCCCTGCTTTTGGTATGGAAGGAACATCTACTCTACTTTATTGCTAAAGCAAAACAGGATGTAAAGGTGCAATCAGCATTTCTTCAAGGCAACCTGATTTTCTTTCAGCTCCTTCATTGTACAGCAGGGCTTTAGTGCCATCATCCAAAAGAGCAGGTAGTCATGATAGCCTTCAATCTTCCTTCTTTCAACTCTCCTGGTTCATTAGCAAAGCTTCTAATGCTGATTATCTGGCATTTCTGAAAACTTTTCAATGCATTGGGTTATATGCTAGACTATGATTTACTATTTTATTGTTTTCTACTGCAGATTGTTGATGTAACTTGATGCTATTGTAAGCCGCCAAGAGTCTTTTGATTGTGCTCGGTAGAAAAGAAATAAACAATCTAACAGGAGGTTTCATGGCCAAGAATTCTTTTCCACCAATGTTTCTTGCTAGATTGCCAACCATGTAAACATTAAAAGTAGCAAATTTGACTTTGCTTAAATTTTTATATATATTTTAAAGCAAGAAAGAACATTTTAGAGCACTCTTTTCTCAACTCAAGATGCACCTGCCTAAATAGAAATAAGAGAGTAATTTATGCAATGTAATGGTGCACCTTTATTTGGGCAGCTCAACTCAGGCCTTCTGCCATTAATTTAAAGAACATGCAATTAGTCAATGTTGTTGTTGTTGTTTTTATTCCCATACCTCTCCTGTACATTATTTATTTATTTGACCTATTTATTCCCTTTGTTTATCCCTGCCCCCCCAAATTAAGGCAGATAACTAATTTTTTTCACACATACAGTATATACTGTATATTTTTATAGATTTCGGAAGGAAATTAAGGCAAACTGGGAGGAGAGCCAAGTATGTGGATAAAAAATAAATACAAATAGCATGGGTCCAGTGAAGAGAGAATGTATAATTCCAATTAATCTTTTTTCAGGACTATTTTCTTTTTAAATTAATAAAGCTGTGTTACAGTATACAGTATATCATAACAGTAAAAACTGGAAAAGATAATTATTTACCATTTTCATAAATTAGCTGCAATTCATTTTACTGCTGTAGCTATTATTTAAGAAAATATATCTAGCTTTGTTGTTTTTTTCTTTTCATGCTTTAAGAATATAATGAATTATACACTTAATATTCCAATGGAAATATTTTGCATTGTGTTTTACTCTTAATAAGAACACAGTTTTAGGCAAATAAAGCTTGAAACAAAATGTGCTAGGAATAATATAGTTTTTTTAGAACTTCAGTAGCTCTTTTTAATCTGTTGCCTTTGTTTTATCTTCAGGATTCATTCTATGGAATTAAGGGACTAAGGGAAATTAAGTAAGTTTTTATTGGTTGCATTCAGATAACTGAGATCGCTTGGTTCTTATGCCTGTTTTTATTCAGAGTACCCTGTGAAGAAAGAAAGCAGTGCTGAATATCCCTCCCTCCCTTCCTTCCTTTTAACCTACTATAAGCAGACACAAGCTGAAAAGAGGTCTCTAGAGCAGGGGTCCCCAAGCCCCAGTCTGTGGACCAGTACTGTGCCAGCAACCAGTCTGCACAAACAAGCATAGCCCAACCGCTGGATGCAGGCAGCACACAGAAGCACGCATCCTCCGGTCTGTGGAAAAACCTCTCTCCACGAAACCGGTCCCTGGTGCCCAAAAGATTGGGGACCTCTGCTCTAGGGTCAAGAAGGTGACCATAAAGACTCACGGGCAGAAGAAGAAAACCATGACAAAGAATGATGGTCCATGGTCATGAAAAAGAAGCCAGAGTGAGAGAAGCTAATCAAACTACCTACGTCCACAAAATTCAATGAGCAAAAACAAATTGTTGGAAATATTATTGTAGAGGCTTTTATCTGTTGCTTACTGATATCAAACAATTCTGAAATGAGGCAACTATTTCCGATTACTCCTTTTTTATGGTTTTCCAGAGATTTTTTATAAGTTGATCTCTTAGAAGTGGAAAGTTGTTATTTACTTTTCCAGTAAAGTGGAAAATTATTATTTAGTTTTACTGTGTGTGGAAATGCACAATTCCTAAATAAATGTCTGGAATAGTCAGCTTAATCTGCATATTTACAGTTCTTGTGATTTGTTAGTAAAGAAAAATAAGGTAATACAGAAGCAGCACCAATTGATGTCCAGTTAGTATCTAACAACTAATATTACTATTAATTTCCATACACTTTCACAGTACTTCATTTGTAACTGATACAAACATTGTATAAAATTGATTAGCTCTATTATCACTTCCATAGTTAGAAACAGAGGGCAGTGTCACTGAGATCCAATAGCTTGCCAGAAATACCTGGAAATGAATTTACAACTCTGTTTCTTTGCCAATATATTATACTCTATTCAACTTTCAAAGGAAAACTAGCTTACTCAATACTACATCAGAGATCAGTTTGACCTAATCCATGACTAACTACACACAATGTGCCAAAGATATTACATTTTGACACAATGAAATCTTTTTTTCACTGAAAATAAATTTTGCAGCTAGTTATTATTTGCAGAGAATTTTTCTGTCACCATCCCCAGTATTTTAAACTTTTGCCAATAGTTAAAATATTTTTTGGCATATAACAACGTGGGAGTTGAGAGAAAAATACAGGAATGTAATAAAGGCACAAGTCAAAACCAGGTATTAAAACTAAAGGCTATTTTAAAACAAAATTGAAAAGCTATGCTGAATGTTAAAGTTATAGAAGGAAATATTTTGCAAGAGAAGTTTATATTTAGGCTGTAAACATATCTTTACAACCCTCTCCAGGTGTTCACAAAGTATAAACATGAGGCAAAATTTGAGAAAATACATGTATTAATTTCTCCACTCTAACATCTCCATATTGGGAAAACTATGAAGAACGTATCTTTAAACAAATGGATGAATGAAGCTGGTTCCATCACAATTTCGTTTTTGCCTTATACAGCATACATTTATGAATGAAGGAGATGTTTAGACATGTTCTTTTCATCTTTCCCCTTTTCTGTAGTTACAAACATATTTTATACCTCCAGAATTTTATAAAAACAGAAATATAAGTTCATGAAACTTCGCAAGATTTTAGCAAACCCATGGAAGTACATTGAAAGTTGCCTGGAACATGGTCTGAAAACTCAAGTAGAAAGCCTCACTATTATGTAATATTGATCTTAACAAAGATCTGGTGAATTCACTGTTGAAAGGCTTGAAAATTTTACATACACCACACAGAATGGCCTTCAACAAAAATGAACAATGGACAGAATAAAATAAAATGATAAAGCTTCTGCATGTTTGTGGAGATTAATTTTGAAAATCTATTTCTCAAATATCTACATTTGCTTCAGATTTTTTCCTCCATAACTTCTCTTTTATCATTGACTTATAATTAAAAGACCACTAGGGAAAGTACTGAATTATTTTTGAACATTTCAAATTATGTTGTGAATTCTAGGCAAGAAATCTCAGGGTTGCATCACTGCCACATGACTAACTAATGTTGCAAGTACTGCTTCCCTCTCCCCAAATATTAAGATATATAATGGGAAAAATGCCTTTTTTATGAACCACACCTACAATGACATTCATAACTCCAATATACTTACCTGTCGTGGGTGCAGCAATTGTCCATGTTTAACATGGAGAACAAAACCTTTCTCACAAGAAATAGCACATTCTAGGTGACCCCGACTACTGGAACTACAGTTTGCAAGAGTAGCATGATGGATCTGTGGAAGCACACAGCTTCCCTGCTCTCTACAGGTATGTTGAGTACAGCTGTTGGGAAGAGAAAAGGGAAACATGTACAAACAAAATACAGATACACACATAGAGAAAGTGAGAAAAAAAAATAAGTGTGCAGTGCTCCAAAACAACAACAGCAAATCTTGTAACACTGATACAAATTTTGTTTTCTAAACACTAAGCATCCCTAAATCAACATGAACTATTTTATTATATGAGCTGATTTCTTCTCAGCTATGAAATTATAGCCAGTTTGATCAAATGGTGAAGGCATCACGATAGAAAGTAGAAGACTGAGTTGAAAGCCTGCTTTAGCCACGAAAGCCAGCTGCATGTCCTTGGGCCAGTCACTTTTTCTCAGCCCATCCAATCTCCAGAGTTGTTGTGGGAAAAATAGGAGAAGAAGATGTGTTGGATATGTTCACCATCACAGGTTATTTGTAAAAAACAATAAAAGCAGGATACATATAAATAAATATAAGCACTTAAACAATAGTTAAAATCAAACTACTAAAAAAACACTGAAGCAAACAGGTGACCTGATTCACCTGTTTATGAAGCAAATACAAATGGCCCTTAGTCACTTCAGGATAATGCTGAATTAGAAGACTCCAGTCTTCCAGTCCAACATTTCTGGCCAAAATAGCTCCAGGCTGAGCATTTTCAGGTCTAAGTGTGGCGAGTACTGAAGCTGCTCAGCTTGGAACAACCTGAACATAGGAAAAATATTACAGCTGCTGTGCCTCCTGAAGCCAGAGAACTTCAAAGAAGTATGAATAGTATTGTAGGGAAAAGATCCTGTTGGCCTTTTTCTTTAGCGTGATCTCTCTAGAGCAGGATGAAAAGGATTCCAGAGTTGAGCAAGGTGAAGCAAACTGGTCACTTGGTTTTGCTTTCATAAGGTAGCCATGTTGCTTCAGAAAGCAAGGATGAAGGCTTGCTTTATTTGAATTTTCATCCAAAGGAAATAACCCTCTATTTTTGTATATCCATGCTACAAATGGTCATGTATTACACTGAAGGACAAGAAGCACTATTTTTAGTGTAAACCTGACTGCAGAGAAATAGTCTAAATAATAGCTACTCTTAGTGATCCTAAATGGGAAGAAAGTGGAAAACAATAATATTGAAGGCAAGCTACTATCTATAAACGGATAGCAATCCCCATTCCCTTCTACACTGCAGAAGTTGTCTAGTCTGCTAATAAAACATCTGCAAGCAAACAATCAATCTCAGAGAGCAGCAAGGACTCCACATCGGGCAAATAATTTGAACATAGGACAATATACTTAGCACCAATTCTGTTGGCCTGCCACATAAACTTCCTTATGTTGAAGGATTAGCACTGTTTTCATTTTGTAGAAGTTGCAATAAAGGAAACATGATGAACTACTGTTTACTCTCCTTTAGTTGTGATCAACTAAGCCAAGCGCATTGATTTAATTAAAGATTGAATCCGATCAATTTAATGTGATACCACCAACCTAATTAACTAGATATTTGAAAATCCTATTACTACTTTATTCAAGAAAGCAAATCCAAGAGGAAAGTTTATCAGTCACTGATGGGCTACCAAAAATTAGTGGATTGCCTTTTTAAACAAAATAGAGCTATTACGTTAAAGATGGGAGATGGCAGTCTGCAGAATGAAGGATGCCTGCACCACAGGTAATCTGTTCAAGGAAATACAATTCAAAAGCCACATGCATTTTCACACCTCTTTTTCTGATGCCTGACTTGAGTTCTGAAAATGACACTGGATAAAGTCAAAGGCTTGGCAGATTATTACAGATCAGCGGCAGTTGACATACTTTTGAAAAGTTCCTGAGTTTTCCATAGGTCAAATGGCTAAGAATCTGGATCTCTTAATTTCATGACCAAATGTATACTGTTATTTTCTGAATAATCCTTTCTCATCTCCCTGAAACTCTAACTTTTCTCTTAATTATATATGACACAGAATATTCCCTTTTTGGCTTGGTTTGGGTGGCTGAGTTCATAACGCACCATTCTTCTGCTAATAACTTTCTGTATTATGTGAGCATTTGTCTTATCTCCCCCCCCATCCTGCATAAAAATGATATTTAAAGATCCCATCGTGTCCCTAATAAAAAAGATTTAAAGAAATTCCATCTGCATGACTAGCATACGACTGAAAAGTATTTTGTTTGTATCAGCTATTCAGTTGGCAAAGAAACATTATTTATATATAATCATAAAGAGAAAATCAAGGATACTTATCCACAAACCACTGATTCTACGCAAAAGACATAACAAATGTCATGAACATAAAATGCATGATTTTTCATACTTCAGCATTAATTACAAACTGCTGGAGCTCACTGAACGTTTAATAACTCTATGCTTACAAAAAATTATTGAAACTGAATGCCAAAGAGGAACAGTATTAAAAGTGGAAAGGGGGGATTAAAGAATTAGAAAAATTAAAATGAAAGGCAAAAGATTATTTGTAGAAAAAGACCCTAAAATATAAACAAGAAAATTATTTGGTGGAGGGGAAATATAAAAAATTAATGAAACAAAGGGAAAAAACAACAGGTAATGTTGAGCATAATGTGTAATGTTGGATTAAAACAATGTTTCAACATTTTCTCAGTTTTTTTTAGTACAGCATTTTCTTCTAACCATCAAAATTTATTTTAACTTATTCTCTTGAAAAATGTATGAGCCATTCTATAAAACAAAAAGTTTTCTTCGGGCAATTTACAAGCGTTTTTTTCCAAGAAATAGAGATTCAGTTCCTGAAAACAACATTCTTCTTTAATTGTTTATTCCCAGAACCCAGATTTTAGATCTTTAGTTTATTTAAATATTAATCATCTGCCCTATTGCAATGACTCTGAGGAGGCACAGTACAAACAAGAAAAATAAACCACAACAAAAGCTGTAGTTAATCATTTAATATGGCTGTAACTGGAGTCTACAAAATTCCATAGCCAGAGACAAGAGTAAACCCTTTAAGTGGCACCAAAATATCACCAATTCCAGTATCAGTTTGACCACCTGTAGAGCCATAGCTCAAAACACCCTCTGGTACTCCCTAAACTATTACCAATGATGGGCTGCAAAAAAGAAAGTCTTGACAAAATTTTAATATTCTTGAATAGTGAGGTCATAATCTGGTTACGATTTTAAAAATCAACCCTTTCATCTTAGATTTAGGCTATAGGACTGAAACTGATCTTTAAAAACCCATTTAGGCAGTCCTTTAGTCCTTTCTTGAGTGTTTGCCAAAACTGTAAAATCAAGTTCTGAGTAGATGGAAGGTATCCTCTCCTTCCTATACTTAACAATTACATCATTGAATATCTCCAAGAAAAAAAATGCAATTTTTTTTACTTTTGTCTGATCTACACTAAGTCTTATAAGTTATGCTATAAACGTCCTTGAACTGTTTTATCATCTCTCTCTTACAAAGCATCTATTAATAGTCATGAAGGTTTACTACAAGACTGGACAATGTTATTATACATGTTAGAAATAAGTTTATTTATTTGGTCAATTTCCATCCCATCTTTTCTTCAGGAGTTCAAGAAAGTTTACACGGGGATCATGTAAGATGGGTTGAGAAACAATGACTAGCATGCAGTACATTTCCATTGCTAATGATGAACTTGAATAAGGGTTTATCCATTCCTAGTACAACACCTTAACTACTATATCACAATGGCAGTCATTATGGACTGTTTGTAGATTTGTCAGAAAACAACCTGGATTTGTATAGCCATCCATCTCACCAAAAGCAATTCTGAGCAGCGTACAATAATGCTAAAACAGTGAATAAAAACAGTTATCATTATTACTTGATTATAAAAAATATTAAAAAGCTATAAAAACATGAATATGCTGATTGTTGTTATATATTGATGATTTACAGTATGTCTAATGGATATTTATGTATCTAATATTCTATACTGAAATTATTATAGATGTGTACAAAAAGTACACTACTGTTCTATACAAATAAAGTAACTAAATTGGTAGACTAGTGAAATGTTGTTCACGTAGGATACTTAAATTTCAGTACGGCATTTGACAAAGTAGACCACAACCTACTTCTTGGTAAGCTAGAAAGAGGCAGAATAGACAACATCACCACCAGATGGATTTGTAGATGGCTGACAAACTGTACTCAATGAGTAGTCCTCACTGGTACTACATCCACATGGAGAGAAGTAAGCAGTGCCACAAGGCTCTGTCTTAGGCCCAGTACTCTTCAATATCTTCGTAAATGACTTAGATGAGGGAATAGAAGGGAACTCATCAAAATTGCAGATGACACTAAACTGGCAGGAATAGCCAACACCCTAGAACAGGCCTTTTTAACCTTTTCAGGTTGTACCACTTTTAGGACATGACAATATTTGAGTACCACCAGTGCTTAGCAAGGTGTCAAAAACTTGATGACTAAAAAAAAAGGGGGGGGGGATTTTGGGTTTTACTAATTAGATTCATTTGTTGTTATAGAAATGGCTAGTTTATAATATTATGGAAAAGTAAAAAGTTGAGGTTCAATGTTAATGCTTCCTTCTACTGCAACAGAGGAAGTATGTTCTCTTCCCTTCTCCCACTCACTTTCCCCCCCTTTTTCCTCCCCACTGGGTTCTACTATTTGCTTTTGTATTTTATTCTATAATCTAATAAAATATTACAAACTGTAGAAAAAAAGTAAAAAAGTACCAGTTTTAATTTCTTCGGTAACTGTTCCTTTGCTGAATCAATTTCCCTTTACACTGACAAATGTATGATGAATTAATCCATGTTTATTAATATGCACCACTACCAGCTAGTTCAGGGGTCTTCAAACTTGGCACTTTTAAGACTTGTAGACTTCAACTCCCAGAATTCCTCAGCCTTCATGGCTGGTTGAGAAATTCTGGGAGTTGGTCCACAGGTCTTAAAGTTGCTAAGTTTGTAGACTCCTGAGCTAGCTGGTCGGCCCTTCTTCTCTCTCCCTTCTGACCTTCTCCACAGTGAGGTAAGAATGCACCCCCCTCCAATCCCTTCCCTGT